TCCTGAACGGGGGAGGGCTTAGTTGCTTTGGTCACATGCCCGATTGTACTAAGGCCCTTCATCGTTGTGTCGAAACACCAACGAGCAACTTTGATGTCCCCGTTGAGGGTGATGACGGCTCCCAATCTAGTGTAGTACTTCATCTTTAGGTGGACGGTTGACGGCACTGCGGTGAGTTCAACCATCATCGTCCTGCCTAGGATGCAGTTGTACAGAGATGGGCACTCGACGACCAGAAAACGGACGTTGATTTCTCTGGCCGTTTGCTTTTCCCCGAAGGTGACCTTGAGCTCCATGTATCCCCACGGTCTTGTCGTTGTCCTGTTGAAGCTCTGTAGGTCGGAGCCCAGGTAGGGGGACATATTGGATTCGTCGAGTTGAAGTGTCGAGAAGAGGTAGGTATACATGATATCCACTGAGCTCCCTCCACCGACTAGGATGCGTCGAACATCGAAGTTGGCCAGTTGTGCCCGTATCAGCAAGGGGATGATCGAGTTAGAGGCTCCCCCAAAGAGCTCCTCGAGATAGAAAGTGATCAGATTGGATTGACCTTGGAACTTGTCGAGTGTGCTCATATTGCTGGAGCTGTTGCTCATCAGATCATCGAATCTCCTTTTGACCGATCCGATCGAGAGCTTGCTCGGGGTCCCGCCCGAGATGATCAAGGCCCTAGGGAAATATTCCCACCAGCTGGTGGGGCGCACGGGCTCCTCAGACAGCTGAAGCTCGGCGGGGAGGCCGAATTCCCTCAGGATGAACCAGTCCTCAGGTCGACCCACGCTGAGGGCTACCTGCAGGCCAAAATTGTTGTTGGGAGGAGGGAGGTCCTCAAATTTCTTAGCCTCGGGAGCCTCTTGCCGTGGGGGTCTCCTCCCCGGGTGTACCTCTTCAAGTGCCCGTCCTTGATCAGAATCTCGATCGCATCCTTCAAGTGGATGCAATCCTCTGTCACGTGCCTGTGGCTCCGGTGGAAGCGAAAAAATTTCGATTTGTCCATATTGGCTTTGTTGGGCGTCAATTTTGGGAAGCAGACACCTCCCCGAATAAATTCTGAATTGGCGCACTCAGCCAGTATGCGCTCGCGGGAAGCGACTAGTGTCGTGTATTCAGTGAAACGACCAGCGGGGTCCCGCTACTCGCGGGGTTCTCGGGGTCGATCCTCCCGTCGTCGATCTCCTCCACGTGGGTGGGTCGAGGCCCCTTCATCTCGGAACCCGCAGGGGGTTTCTCTGTTCCGTGCGAGCGGTGTTGGCGGCCTCCGTCTCCTCGAACCGGATGTAATGACGGGCTCTCTCGAGGAAGTCCTGGAGGGAGTCTGGCCGGTGGATGGCCACAACCTCGTAGAACATGGAGTCTCAGTGCAAGCCCTGCTCCACCAGGTAACGCTTCATCTCGTCCGAAGTCGTTACCTGGACCGCCTCCCTTGTGAACCTCTCGATGTAGTTCCTAAGAGGCTCATCGGGGGCCTAGATGATCGTGCTCAGGGCGGCTTCCGTCTTCGGATGTCATCTCGAGGCCGTGAAATGTCGTAAAAATAGATCCTTCAAGACCCTCCACGACGAGATCGACTCGGGCTCCAGGCTTTTGTACCATGCCATGGTGCCTTTCCTTAGTGTTGTCGGGAAGAGTCTGCACTTTATGGCTCCCCGGACGTTCCTGTAGTCAAGCATAGCCTCGATGTCTTCCAGGTGGTCGTCTGGATCTGAGGTGTCGTCATACATCGAGAGGACCAATGGCTTCTCCATCCCGTGAGGAATGGGGGTCGCCGTGATTTCCCGTGATATGTGGGTTCTATAGTCGTCCTCATCGCTGTAGGTGGGGGACTGAGGCGACGATGATCCGTGCCGAGAAGGTTGATTACGCACCCTCGGTCTCTTGGCCGGGGCCTCGGGCCTGTTCGCCCTCGGATCCGGGGAACGCCTCTCCTTCCTGGGCGGTGACCTTGCTCGCTTCTTGAAGACCACTGGTTGGGGCCTCTCCAGCTGTGGCCGGCGCCCCCGCGGTTGGGGAGAGGGGCTCCGAGAGTTCCCGTGCTGATCTCTCCGCGGAAGGGAGCGGGACGAGGTGTTGTGTTCTAGCACGCCAATACGCTCATTTTGCTAGAACAACATCTGGTTCGTCTAATTGATGGCTGCGAAGAGGGCAACCATCGTCGGGTCTGCCCCGACCGACATGGGGATGGGTTGGAAAACTGTCAGGCTTCTCGCCCGAGGCACGACGTGATGTGCCGCATCCTCGGATGAGGGGGAGGCAATCTGGCCGTCTCATGGGGTTGAAACGTCCCCAGCGGGTTATCGCCGTTGGTGGCTGGGGTGATGGCGGAGCCAAGAACAGCGTCATCGTGGCGTGGGCTAGTCATGCTCTTAAAATTTTGAAAGGAGGAAGCTTTGGTTCTCTGCTCAGAGGAACGAGGAAGCTTGGGTTCCCACAGACGGCGCCATTGATCGTACCTGACCAGAAGGGGATCTATGACCTGCCACGCGTCGTTGATCTGCTAGTTGCTCACCGAAGGTATGGAAGAGGAGAGAGGTGTACCTAAAACACACTCCGATGCCAAAGTAAGTGACGAGTAGAGTGAGAGCAAGTACAGAGAGAGAGTAAGAGAGTTAAGTTACCTGACCCTCAAGTGAATAGGGTATTTATAGTGAGCCCCCCAGCGCAGGGCCAACGGTTTCCTAGCATTGGGCTGGGCTGCCAGGCCCAATGTTAGTAACTGCTAGGGCTGACATGGCGTCGTGAAGACCAGCACGTGGTCTTCGCCCTAGGGTAACTGTCCCGAGCTATCTGGGAGGAGGAATACCGAATCTCCAGGACGTGGGTAGTTACTTTATGACGTGTTCCTGCATGAGGGACACGTGGAAAACGTGGGGGGAGGCTCGAGGAGCTTCCCGGGCAGGCTGGATTCGCCCGACGACGACGAGGAAGAGACTGGCTGGTCGACTGTGAGGGTCCTGCCCGACAGCCGTTGGCCTATGTCCGACAGGGGGAAGGTTGTGCTCGGACGAGCTTCTGCCCGACGGCGGGGTACTCTTGGACCCAAATCTCATTAGGGTTTGGGCCTATTTAGTTGTGGGTTAAGCGTTGACACAATTCAGAACATAATGTAAATCATGATGTAAATTAAAAAGTAAGATACTATAAAAGAGACACACCTTATTGAAGCAAACGTAAAAAAAAATTGAAAATGTAATATTACACTTTGATGAAAAAAAATACAAACTCGTTATATTAATGGAAGCACAAAGATATCATTATGGAATATATACAAAAAAAAAAACATTTTAAACACTTTCTTCATCAATGTCAAGAATTTAATTTATAAAGATCATTTAAAAATTTTTTTGGTAAAATTTAATAAATAAAATAAATCGTTGTAAAAAAATAAAATAAATTAAATTAACTTTATGAATGAATGAATAATCATCCATTAAAAAATTAACAATAAATGAATTGGATGAATTATATTTAATAAATGGATTGATTGAATTTTTAAAACTTTTTTACAATAGATACATTAGATTAGATATTTTTATATATATTTTTTATAATCACAAGTACATTTAAAAGGAGTATTAAGGGTCCTCCAACACAATAATCATACACCAATGCAAACAAATACACAATTACAAAGATGTTTAAGTCAATCATCAAAATATATATAAGAAAGTGTTTATTCTTAATAGGCAAGTAAAGCCATACAAATAAAACAATTCTATCTAAAACGGCTACCATCTTAAAGAGTTAGTCTATAAAAATAATTTAATTTCTAGATCTCCAAATACACCAACAAACAACCCATCAAATTAAATTCAAAATAAGATCATCCAATTCAGAAAATGAAGATGACAAATCAGCTCTAAAAAAAAAAATCTTAAACCAAATCAAAATTTTGTTTGTTTGCAAATAATAATCACAGCAAATAATAAGGCTTATACCTTAATTAATATAATTTGCTTGTAGAAAAAGACCACATTACCAAATTTATTCCAGCCAGCTTTAATTTATTTTCTAAGATAATATTAGTAAGATAATCATTCTTTCATTTTTAACTTTCAAAGGAGTATTATAACAATTTTTAAATAATAAACTTAGCTTTTAGAAATTCTTCTTTGACTCCTTTTAATTCAATGGAAGTGATCAAGTCTTTTACATTTGAATCAATCTCAACCGTCAGTTACACAACACGCTCATTTTGATCAAAACACGCTGCAGAACCACCACAAAACTAAACCCTCTCTTCTTTCTCGTTTCTTTTCGTTTCACTCTCTCAGCGCTCAAACATTTTCTTCTTCCTCTCTACCCTAAAACCTAGCCGCTACCGCCATAGCAAGAGACGGTGATCCCGGCCGCCGATAGCTTGCATAGGAAAAGAGCACAGCAGCTACGTGGCCATTGCCAGAGCTACATCATCAGGTTCAAACTTGTTCACTTCATAGGTTTTCATTTTTTCCTCCTTTCTTTCATTTTTTTTCTATTCAGTTTTTTTAAGTAAATGGGTGCTAGTTTCAAGTTTTTTAAGGGTTTCTATTTTTCTAATAGGTAGTGTTATTCATGAAAGCTAAATACTTTGATACTTAATTTGGAATAAGTTGGAATTTAATCATACTTTGTTTGAGTTATGTGTTCCTGTAATGCATTTTGTGTAGCACGAATTTGAAGTTGTATGAGTTATTTGTTATGAGAATATTTAGAATGGTGGGAAAAATGTTTAATTTTCACATTATATACTTCTGAACTGATTTTCTATATGGTGGCCATATGCAAAGCTTATTGTAACCTACTGGTTATACATTCCTTGTTATTATGATGCTGCTTAGGTTTATGAACATTTATTAGAGTATGAATGCTTTAATGGAATCTGGGTTATGCGGTTCAAATTCAACTAGTGTGACTCACTGATTTGATATTTTGTTGTCCCTAATACTTTGAATTTTGCAAATTCTCTGTTGGCTTTCAGTCTCCAGTACAACGTTAAAACTCAAAACCTTGTCTAGAGATAGATGGAGAAGATGAAAATAGAAGAGGTTCAGTCAACGACAAAGAAACAGCGTGTTGCTACTCACACACACATAAAAGGCCTAGGTCTTGAGGTTTGTTCTCTTCCTCTTTTAGCATTATGACAAGTTATTGTCTCATTATTTTGTGTGGAAATATTTGCTGAACTTCAACAGTATTTGCAATAGATTGTAATGGGCACGGATTGAAATTTTTATACACGCTGGCTTGTTGTGGGTGAAATGGAACCCTTTTGCTTATTGCCCAATGACATTAAAGTCTTGTTATGCTCAGATGGTTTGGATGCTTTAATTTAAAGTTAACATTTTTTTTGGGGTTTGGTTTGGTTATTGTTCAGGTAAGTGGAAAACCTCTGCCTTTTGCTTCTGGGTTTGTGGGACAAGCTGAGGCAAGAGAAGCATGTGGCCTTGCGGTTGATATGATACGCCAGAAGAAGATGGCTGGCAAAGCAATCCTTCTCGCCGGGCCACCTGGAACCGGCAAAACTGCATTAGCACTTGGGATATGTCAGGAGCTTGGGACTAAGGTTTCCTATCAAAAGTCATTCTTATATTTATATTCTTTTGTCTCTGATTCTTAGAAGATTTGTTTATACCACTCTGTAGGTTCCATTCTGTCCAATGGTTGGTTCGGAAGTATACTCGACAGAAGTAAAGAAGACTGAGGTTCTTATGGAAAATTTTCGACGGGCTATCGGTCTACGTATTAAAGAAAATAAGGAAGTATACGAAGGCGAGGTGAGTTTGCTGTGGTTCCCTTGTTAAAACTGGGATTGGCTTGTTGATCACTTTCTCTTCTACATATTATTTTGATACAGTTTTTTTGATGTTTTTTCTGTTACTGTGCAAGGTGACCGAGCTCTCTCCCGAAGAAACTGAGAGTATAACAGGAGGTTATGGTAAAAGTATTAGCCATGTTATAATTGGGCTGAAGACAGTGAAAGGAACCAAGCAACTAAAGTTAGACCCCACGATATACGATGCGTTGATTAAGGAAAAGGTATGGCTTCTTATTTTCTAGCTTTTCTTCTCGCTATCATCCTTTTCCCTTTGCTAGTGCTCCTGTGAATATATTTTATAACTTTTTTGTTTGGCGGGAAGCTATTTTTGTTTTAAAGCTTTATATTGGTGTCAACCATTCTACTATTTTGATGCATGCGATTTATGCACATCGTACAGGTAGCTGTTGGAGATGTTATATATATTGAGGCAAACAGTGGGGCTGTGAAAAGGGTTGGCCGAAGTGATGCCTTTGCTACTGAGTTTGACCTTGAAGCAGAGGAATATGTTCCACTTCCTAAGGGAGAGGTTCACAAGAAAAAGGAGATTGTTCAGGTATTTGATTTGAAGACCATTTTTATATTTATGTGACGTCTATACAGATTTTCTATATTTGAACCCTTGGTGATTACCGTACTAGAACTTGGGCTGATGTTAGGTTTCATCTCTTAATTCATTTGCTAATATCAATAGCTTCACATCACTTCCATTGTTTCATTTGAAGTTAATAGAGACTGGCATCATGTTTATGATAGCAACTTAGGATATAGTCTGTTTGGGGCTTACTCCTCCTTAGCACAGAAAAAAGCTTAGGATATAATCTGTTAGGGTAGCATTTTTATTGTTTCCAATTCAACAATTGATCTATCTATAAAGAATTTAAGCATTTCACGGACCTGATATTGGCCATTGTAAGAAAGTTCTCAGTCTGCATTGCAGAGGAACTAGTTTGGTGGAAGTGCATCAAACCACAGTAAGATGTAACTCTACCAAGCCTCTGAACTTAACTTGGGTCCCATGTATTTTTCTTCTACTAGTAATGCACCAAACTTTTCTGGCTTAAAGTTCTTAATTAAAAATTGTCTGAGGTGCAAACTTTGCAAAAAATTTTCTAGACACTAGCTATACATATTATTGGTTTCTTATTGTGGTTTGGATATTTTTTGTTCTTTAAAGGACGTGACTCTACACGATCTGGATGCTGCCAACGCACGACCTCAGGGGGGGCAAGATATTTTGTCTCTTATGGGCCAGATGATGAAGCCTAGGAAAACAGAAATCACTGACAAGTTGAGACAAGAGATTAATAAGGTATTTTTATAACTTGTAATACATGTTTAATATTCTTAAACCAGAAGGGGAGTTCTGACACAACGGTCAAAGTTGTTGTCATGTTACATGTAATCAAAAGGTCATAACTCCAAGTAGTGGCATGATAGCACCGGCCTCTTGAAAATGCATGGTAAGGCATTCTATAGTAGACCCACAATGGGCCAACTTTCCATGGATTCCACCATGAAAATGCTATTTGGTATTAGGCTACCTTTTTCATTTAGGGAAAAACTAGCCATCTAAAAATTGGCTTTTTTCACAGCAATTCTATAGTAGACCCACAATGGGCCAACTTTCCATGGATTCCACCATGAAAATGCTATTTGGTATTAGGCTACCTTTTTCATTTAGGGAAAAACTAGCCATCTAAAAATTGGCTTTTTTCACAGCAATTTTCTCAATTAATCTTGTTTGTTATTGGGGATAATAGTTATTCTTTCTGATGTTTCATGCTTTAAAATGAAATTGGTGATTAGTAAAGCCTTACTTTTGACAAAAAAAAGTAAAAAAAAATGGATGGATGATATAAAAACAAGAGGGTAGTTTATGTTTACAAGTATGCTTATGTTGGTGACAGGTTGTCAACCGGTATATTGATGAAGGTGTTGCAGAGCTTGTCCCTGGGGTTCTATTTATTGATGAGGTGACTTCATTAACTTTCTTAGTAGTTAGTGCCTGCAATTATTTTGGATCCGTTTATTGAAGTTCTAATGCTTCTTTGCAGGTGCATATGTTAGATATGGAGTGTTTTTCCTATCTTAATCGTGCTTTAGAGAGCTCCTTATCTCCAATAGTAATCTTTGCCACAAATAGAGGAATATGCTCTGTAAGGTATGGTTAGTTAAACTTAAATTGCTTATAAAGTTTTTCTGAAGTGGAAAATTTGGAAAAACTAGACAAATGAAATCTGATTACTGGTAGCCCATCATTTTCAGTATGTTAAGTCAATTAGCCATCATTTTCAGTATGTTAAGTCAATTAGCCATCATTTTCAGTATGTTAAGTCAATTCGGACTTTTAGCTTTAAAAGATATATTTTTTCTTTGTATTTTCAAAAATGACTTTTCTAAAAACGTTCTTGAAAACATTAAAAGTTTTTTTTAAAATTCGTTTTTTATAAATTGAAAGATTAATTTTGACATCCTATGATATAAATAACATTATTGAAGATAAAACATAGTCAAAATCACAATTTTATCACAATTTAAAAAAAAAATGTATCTCAAATATGATTTTTATAAAAAACTATTTGAAATAACTTCAAATTAAAGTGATTTTTGAAATTTTGATATCCAAGAAAAGATGATGATCACAGTAGGTCAATAGGCCATGTCTCTGATTTCATGATTTTTTGGGGCATAGAGGTTCCTTAACACACAATGTCGATCACATTTGTTAGTAAACAGATCAAAATGATCCCATTTTAATTATTTTCATTATGTTTAAATTTGAGTGTAAAATTGACTGCTTTTTACAGAGGGGCTGATATGAGCAGTCCTCATGGCATACCTGTTGACCTATTGGATCGATTGATGATCATTCGAACAGTAACCTATGGTCCAGCTGAAATAATTCAGGTAAATGGCCTTCAACATTTTTTTCGCTTATGCTTTCCATATGTCAAACTTGCTAATTTTTTATGCACTGACATACATGCTTCTTACTTGTGTATAGATTCTAGCTATCCGAGCTCAAGTGGAAGAACTGGTTGTGGATGAGGAAAGCTTAGCTTTCCTTGGGGAGATTGGACAAAAGACATCTTTAAGGTCTGGATTCTAGATTTCCTGTTATCTAATGTTTTCCTTTCCAATGTTACTTATACTAGTTGTTTATCAGGCATGCGATTCAGCTTTTATCACCTGCCAGCGTTGTTGCCAAGATAAATGGCCGAGAGAACATCTGCAAGGTAATTAAGAATCAAATGTTTGGCACTTAAAAATAATTTGTTAACTACATCCTTTTAACTAATTGAGTTACTATTGTTTCGAAATCTGTAGGCGGATCTTGAGGAAATTTGTTCACTTTATTTAGATGCCAAATCATCAGCCAAGCTACTTCAAGAGCAGCAAGACAAATACATATCATAATACTATTTTCAAAATGTTGAAATGACTTGCTAGAATCTGAACTTGTTAGTTTTTTACCCTGGTTCTTGTTCAGAATTTCATTCTTGTATGGAAACAGTTTCATTCCAGAGGTCATACAAGCAAATCCTTCGGTCCATTTTGTTAGAACATAGAAATGTCTTGTTGCTGCATTTTCAATTGGACATGTTAGAACATAGAAATGTCTCGTTGCTGCATTTTCAATTGGACATGTAGAACTGAGGGATGCACTAATGCCTATGTTCTAGTCTTAAGTTAGTTGTACTTAGAAAGGTTGAGACTTTTCTAGAAGTATATTTATATAAAAATGTTAAAAGACTATAAGAAGCCGTTCAGGTGTCCACCATAGACAATATAAAGAAATTCCTGATCCAGAGAGGCGTACGACCTCAATTTGACTTCGGCAACACCTTTGGGATCGAACGGCCTTGTACCTTGAATGCCCTTCTCCACAAAGCCTAATCATACATCCAGTATGAGGAGATAGAGGCCGCCAACACTGCCCGTGACACACGAAACCAGGAAGGCTTCAAGAGCACAAGGCACGAGGAGGTCGCTCCTCCTCGACGCAACAGGGAAAGAAGAAGAGAAGACCGACCCTGCGAGCAGAGCGGACCAGCGGCTCGGTTCACAAAGTACATGCTGCTCACAGCTCCCTACGAGCATATACAGCCTGAATGTATCAATTCAGAATTTTAGAGAGGTGGTGTCCGTTTCCCGAAACCGACGCCCCCGAAGCCCAATGTGGATAGATCCAAATACTGTCGGTTCCACCAGGGTCATGGACACGTCACGGAAGATTACATCCACCTCAAGGATGCAATGCAATCGAAATCTTAATTAAAGAAGTGTCACCTCTCTCCGAAGAAGCTGGATTACATGTCGCCCTGTGTGTCTCCCGACCAGAGGATTTCCTCCTTTTCAGCGAGCTCGCTAGACCGTTATCTGCCCACAGTCCATGGGAGGATTTCCCTGCCACCTTGGTCATATCCAATAGAGGGCCTAGCAAGCTATCGGTTGGGTCGGTCAAGAGGAAGTTTGAGGAACTCATCGACAAGAGCTCGAAGACGAACGTTACCCTCGATAAATTCAAAGGACAATTGAACCCGATTACCTTTTACCTCGAGGAGCTTCCCAGAGGTGCACCAAACTCCAGCATCCCCCTCCTGATCAGGGCTCAGATGGCGAACTTCGACGTGCGTCGAATCCTAGTCGACCAAGGGAGTTCGGTGGACATAATGTACGCCCATCTGTTTACGACCCTCCAGCTCGACGAGAGCCACCTGACCCCGTATGTCAGCTCTGACCTCCAGGGCTTCAATGATACCACCACCAAGCCTTGGGGATACGTGGAACAACTCGTCACATTCGGGGCCGAGGAGACGGCCAGACAGGTGAAGGTCCGTTTCTTGGTGATCGAACTCCCCTCCCTGTACCAGTGCATCTTAGGGAGGCCGACCTTGGCTGAACTGACTGCGGTACCATATACCGTCCACCTGAAGATAAAGTATGACACGACTAAAGGGCAGGTCGTCACCCTCCATGGGGATATTGAGGCGGCACTCAAAGGGCTCAACTCAATCAACGTCCCCCCAAGTTGACCGGCAAACCAGTCCAAACTGATGAGCATAAGCCACTCCCTCATGTCAACTCCGTCGACCTCGACAGCCGCTTCCCCAGCAAGCAGGAGCAGAGCATGGAATCTGAAGACGTGCCTCCAACAAACAACGGGCATCTATCCCACCCAACGCGCCCCATTCCAGACAGAGACTTCGAGCTCATCACGCTCGGAGATGACCCAGGAAGAAGCGTGAAGATTGGCACGATACTCCGCGACCTGGCAAGGAAGCAGCTTAAATCCTACCTCCGGGAGAACGGTGACCTGTTCGCTTGGAGTGCTGCGGAGATGCCCGACCTCGACCCCGACGTAGCATGCCACCACTTCACCATAGATTCGGCCGCTAGAGCCATAGTTCAACGTAGGCGTAGGAAGTCTCCCGAGAAAGCGGAGGCTGCTGAAAAAGCTGTAAAAGACCTCATAGAGGAGAATTTTATATCGGAAGCTCAATACACAATCTGACTGTCCAGCGTTGTACTAGTTAAGAAACATAATGGAAAATGGAGTATGTGTGTTGACTATACTGATCTCAACCGGGTATGCCCCAAAGATACAATCAAATCCCCATGGTGAAGGCCGACAAAAAATACACGGCATTCATGACCGAGTCAGACAATTATTACTACAACATAATGCCATTCGGTTTGAAGAACATTGGCGCAACCTATCAGCGGATGATGAGTAGGGTTTTCTGGGGAGAAATCGAGGACATGCTCGAAGTTTACATGGGCGACATGATCGTGAAGTCATGAGAAGAGGTCGACCACACCACTCATCTCAAAAAGGTCTTCGAGACGGCGAGGAAGTGCAGGATAAGGTTCAACCCTGAGAAATGCACCTTCGGCGTACGAGCAAGAAAATTCCTCGGATTCTACCTAATGAAACGAGGAATAGAAGCCAATCCAGACAAGTGCAGGGCTTTCTCCGAGTTCACCACACCGAACACAAAGAAGTTCATCCAATCACTAAACGAGATGATCGCGCCGTTGTCGCGTTTCGTTGCCAAGTCTGCTCAACACGCCCTCCCCTTTTTCAAGCTTCTACCAAGGAGGCCGCATTCAAAGGGAACGAGGAGTGCGAGCAGGCCCTCCTCCACCTCAAGCAAGTTCTCTCTGCACCTCCAGTGCTGTCAAGGCCCAAACTCGGGGAAACCTTATACCTATATCTCGCTGTCGCTTCGGAGGCTATCAGCACAACGCTGATCCGTGAGACCCCCGAAGGGCAGAAACCAATATACTTCACGAGCAAAACCCTTCAAGGTCCCGAGCTCAGATACTAGCAGATCAAGAAGATCGCTCTGGCCCTTATCAACGCGACCAAAAGGTTACGACATTACTTCCTAGCCCATACGATCATGGTCAAAATCGACCAGCCCGTCAAACAGCTACTCGGGCGGTCGTACATGTCGGGGAGAATGCTAAAATAGTTGCTTGAGCTCTCCAAATTCGACGTCCAATACGAGAGCAAAAAATCCCTTAAGGCTCAAGTCCTGGCCGACTTCGTCGCGGAGATGACTTCCACAGAGTCCACGACCCTTGAGGCGCACAAATGGGCCATCTTCGTCGACGGCGCCTCTAGCTCGAAGGGAAGCAGAGTGGGCATTATATTGGAAAAAGAGAGGGTATCCTGATAGAAGTCTCCCTCGCCTTGGCGTTCCCAACGTCAAACAACCAGGCCGAGTATGAGGCGTTCCTCGCGGACTCCGTCTGGCCGAAGACCTTGGTGCGAAGGAGGTAAAGATCTTTACCGACTCCCAGCTCGTGGCTTCCTAGTTACGGGGAGAGTACCAAGACAAGAACGACAACCTCGCCGAATACCTCTCCTTAGTAAGAGAAAGAATGAAAAGCTTCGATTTCGCAGAAGTACAACACACACAAACACAACACCCGGACATACATTTTGTCAAAACTGGCTAGCACGAAGAAAAAGGCGGAAACAAATTCGTAATCCAGGAGGTCCTCTCTCGCCCCAGCATCGAGAAGGATATGACAATTATCGAGGTAAATGCTATTGGCGACAGTAACTGCTGGATGACCCTTATTTACACCTACCTTAACACGGGACGACTTCCCGACGATGCCTAAGAGGCGAGCATGGTCAGAAGTCGAGCTTGCTCATACGTCTTGGTCGAGGATAAATTGTACAGACAAGGATTCTCCATTCCTATCCTCAAGTGCGTCAATAAATCCAAGGTGCTGGGCATACTCTAAGAGATCCACGAAGGGATCAACGCCTATTACCTCGACGAAAGGTCACTTGCTTGCAAGGCCCTACGAGCAGGATATTATTGGCCCATCATGCAGCAAGACGCCAAAGAGCACGTCAAGAAGTGCGATAAATGCTAACGACACGGGGACATGCACCTGGCCCCGCCAAACGAGCTCAAAACACTCTCGCCGCCATGGTCATTTGCTTGGTGGGGGATGTATATCCTCGGGCCCTTCACCATCGGGTCATACCAAAATAAATATTAGATAGTCGCCGTCGACCACTTCACTAAATGGATAGAGGTTGAAGCCTTAGCCAAAATCACGGTCCAAAACATACTCCGTTTCTACAAACGGAATATACTTGCCCGGTTCGGCGTACCCCAAGCCATCGTCACCGACAACGGGACACTGTTCACTGACAAGAACTTCCAGGACTTCGCCACCAGGATGGGCACGAAGCAACACTTCACGTCGGTCGAACACCCGCAAACGATTTTGCGCGGCCTGAAATGAAGGCTGGGAGACGCCAAGAAGAGATGGGTCAAGGAGATACACAACGTACTCTGGGCCTATAGTACTACCTCGCACTCGACAACTGGGGAGATCCCATTTCGACTGACCTACGGAACTGAGGCAGTAATTCCGGTGGAAATAAGAGAACCTTCTAGGAGAACTGAGTCACCCCAGCCACGAGGAGAAAAACGACGGGGGCGTTAAGGGAGGAACTCGACCTAGTCGAGGAAATCAAATTGGGGGCATCCCTACAGGAAGCCTCGCTGAAACAAAGGATAACCTTGCGGCATGACAACAAAGTCATCAAGCGCGGGTTCCAGGTGGGCAGCCTGGTCCTACGAAAGAATCAGAAGGATTCACGTGAGGGAAAACTAGCTGCAAACTGGGAAGGCCCCTACCGAGTCTGAGACAAAATGGGCAACCGGGTCTATTACCTCGAAAACCTACACGGTGAAGAACTTGCTCGACCATGAAACGCAGAAAAGCTCAAGCAATACTACATTTAGACACTGCCTGCGACCCCACTACCATCACGACCACAGGGGTGCGACATGGTACATGCGCGACTCCTAGATTTAAAACAAAAAGACAAGAGTATGCCCTTTGCATGTGCGGGCAAATCTTTGATCCAGCGAGGACCC